TCGATTCAAATCAGGGATGTTTGGAATGACAATCTCGAGGGGGAGTTTGCGTTAATCCGTGAAATCGTGGACGAATATAATTACGTCGCCATGGACACGGAGTTCCCAGGAGTGGTTCTTCGCCCTGTGGGTAACTTTAAAAACATCAATGAATATAACTACCAGACCTTGAAGGACAACGTTGACATGTTGAAGTTGATCCAATTGGGTCTTACTTTCTCGGATGAGCACGGCAATCTTCCCACTTGCGGCACTGACAAATTTTGCATCTGGCAATTCAACTTTCGCGAGTTCAACATCAGCGAGGACATTTACGCAAGTGACTCAATCGAGTTATTGCGTCAGTGTGGCATTGATTTTAAGAAGAACAGCGAGAAGGGCATTGATGTGAACCGTTTCGGCGAGCTTTTGATGTCGTCGGGGATAGTGTTGAACGATTCTGTTCATTGGGTCACTTTCCACAGCGGGTATGATTTTGGGTATCTCCTCAAGCTATTGACGTGCCGTGCCTTGCCTGATACGCAGGCAGGATTCTTTGATTTGATCCATATTTACTTTCCCATGGTGTATGACATCAAGCATTTGATGAAGTTCTGCAACAGCCTCCACGGGGGATTGAACAAACTTGCAGAGTTGTTGGAAGTAGAGAGAATTGGTGCATGTCATCAAGCAGGATCAGATAGTTTACTCACGTCTTGTACGTTTAGAAAGCTGAGGGATACATTCTTCAATGGATCCACAGAGAAATATGCTGGTGTTTTGTACGGTCTAGGCGTCGAGAATGGACAGACTAATTGAAAGTGTGGGATAATGATTAATGACCACTTGTAGAGTCCGTCTAAGTGTGAGCTTATTTTATTTTACTTGTGTACACTTCTGCCAAAGGGTTGTTCTTTACTTGTAACTTTTTATCTTTGCTTTATCTTGTAACTCAAACCTTAGATGGTTTTGTAGCTTGAGTTCTTTGTAAATCACTTCAGTTAGTATTTCAATAATAATTCAATAATAATTTCTTACGCCTGCAGCCTTTTCCTTACTTCTGATTATGCTGTGTTGTTTTCTGTTCAAGCCTGAATATTGATCCCTCGATACGCTTTCAAGAACTATAAACAATCAACTGTTACAGGTTGCAAGCGGAATCGTGTTTGTGAGAAGATTTTGTCCTGAGGTGGAAGGATGCTTGTTCCTTGACTCACATTGTATAATCCACAAAGGTACCATATTATTACTGTGAATGTGAATATCTATTAATGGCTTCGAAGGCTTTTGTTCTGTGCCATTGGCCTTTCATATTCGATAGTGTCTCCTTCTGCGCCTTCTAATTTACTCACTCCAACTTCCACTTCAAGATCATCACAAAATTTAGTTGTATGCATGTGTGCAAGGTTATGATATACTCCTTCCGTTTTAGAAGACATTTTTAAATAAAATTTTACATACTAATACATCTTATTAAATACATTTAACAATTTTATATTTTAAAAACAAAAATCTAAACTTTTAAAAATAACTATCATTTAATATATTACAAAGAGAAGGGATTGAAATTAATTATAGAGAGAGAAAAAGGATAATATTAAAATAAGCCTGTTTAATGAAACATTAATCTTCTCATAGTATCTTATATCTTGCGATGATAAATCTTTTGTCGAAGTATTTTATAATTTAACACGATGTGAGTCCAGTGTTTTTAAATGGCAAAATTTGGATCATGCTGATATTCTTGTCTCATGAGTGATGGTGTTAACTTCAATTTAGTTCTAATGTTCTAAAATTGTAGATTTCATTTAATTGATGGCTAATTTTATGTCTTCGCAATTTATTAGGTATGCAATTGCCAATTCAGATCCATTAACAATTGCTTTATTGATATAACACGCTGCAAGATCAATTTTACAGCTAACGAGGCAAGACTATTGTAACATAATCAATTTTTAACTTTGAAATTTAAGCATTTAAAAAGGATAAATTGATAAAGTTAAGTGATTTATGAGTTAATAATTTTTTTCAAATGACTAATGATGTTATTGGATTATTGAGCAACCTTAGAAGATGGTTAAGTCGGAGTTCGAGTGGACCATGATACAGGAAAATGCCTAAAAAACTTTGGTTTAACTCTCTTCCAAAACCGTTCAATGATTTAATAACTTTATTAGTCATGTGAAAAAAACATCAATTCATAAATTACTTAATTTTATCAATTTATTTTTTTTAAATACTTAAATTTTAAAGTTAAAATTTGAAGATGTTACAACTACTCTCACATTATTTTAGTCAAGACGTCGCTTTGATCAAATCCAATGCATTTCCAGATACAAGAAGTTGAGCTTGGCTTGGTCTTTCACATTCCGTCCATAGAGAATAACTATCCGAATTTAGGATGGTTAATCAGTTGCTGCCAAAAAAATAAACCAAGGTGCTTCTCTTTTAAAGCTTAATATGAATTTATTTATTTTTATTGTGCACATTTATCTTCTTATTAGAAATAATTTGCTAACAGAAGTAAAATGTAAGCACTTCTTTTAATAAAAATTTAAATTTAAATTTACTATTTTGTAAGGGACCAATTCTTTCTATTAAAATCTAATACCTATTAGTTCAATATTAAATTTGATTTAATATATTTTAATAAATATCAATATAAAGTAACTTTTTGTTTTTCTATGATGATCGTGTTTGTACATGGTAAAATATCAAATGTTTAATATATTTATATATGATATAAAATTTTTTGTAAAATAGTATATGTTTTCATCATTTCATATATACTTTGAATTATTGTCTTCGCCATTTATATTTTACTATTGTCTAAAATTAGTATGTATCCCGTGCTATGCATAGGGTGATAAATTAATTAACAAAATGTTGATAAAATAATATTAGTTAATTAGACAACATATGCACGCACAGGAATCATTTCTTACCTCAAACAATGATAGTATGTGAAGATGATGAGAGTTCAATGTGTTAAACAATGGAGGTGAACCTTTAAAATTTTCTGTAATCACTTGAAACAAAGTTGAAAGATACAAAAAATTAAAACTTATGAGAATTAAATCAAAACAATATGTAAGAGAATGTGCCCTAAAAATGAGTTAAATTTGAGTTTGAATTTACCTTATTCGCTCGAGACAACTCTAATATACAATATAAAGTGTTGTTGTCTTGTAAAGTTAAGGGCTATAATATTTTAATTTCTACAAAATATTACTAAGATGGATCAAATGTAAATACTAATTGTCATTAATTTTGAAAGTAAAGAATTTGAACTACATACCCTTATTTGTTGTCTTTTGTTATTGAATATTTTGGTTGAAAGACATTTTATATTATATATGAACATAAAAAGAGAGTGAAATGAGATACAATTAAAGTAGTCCCTGACTTGAAATTTATAGGAAGTGCATTAAGCATAAAATGCAACTCATATTATAAACTAATTATGCATGTGCATGCACTTAAATGGCTTCACCCTTCGCCACTTAATTATATCATATCGGTGAATTTGAAATATCCATCTCAACAATTTAATTAGCAGTTACTCATCCCATATTTGGGAAGGCCATAAAACTGCCCATGATATTGAAACCACTCCATGCACCACGAGCACCCTCGTCTTCATTTAAGAACTTAGTAAACAAATTAAAATTGAATTCAAAAATTTAATTCTAGGTGGTTGCATAAAATTGTAGGAATGGAAAAAATGAACCCTTGTTATAATTTTAACCAGGCTTATTATTTCACTATTCAAGGTCGTGGAAGCCACAGGGCAAATGAGACAATTGCCTTGGGCCTCCCAAAAATAATAATATTAAAACCTCTTATATATATATATAATTGATATTTGTATTGTTATGTATTTAATTGCAGGTGAAAAAGAATAAAAAATATTGGTTATTTTTTTTTATTGAAAAGTTCCAACATTTCCCAATATAACATTAATTGTTGAGCTAAGTTCACTATCTACGTAGCAAAAGAATAATGAGATTCATAATACACTAATTTGTATTACATTAGCTTGTTTTAATTTTTTCTCACAGTTTCACTTTTAGTTTTCTTCTTTTCTTATTCTAAAGCCTAAAACATTGATAATATTAGTATCAAGACCTTGTATATTTTTAGACCATCGACATGGCACTTTTAAACTTTATTAAAATATTGTTTATAATTTATAGAATTAATATTAGTTTTTCACACTAATCATTGATATTATTAGTTTTAATTATATATTTTTTGTTAAAAATGTATTGCCATCCCATATTAATGGTAATATTCTATCTCAATATATAAAATGGGGTAGGAGCACTTTATTGATACTAATTTTTATTTAACTATTGAATTAATTTAATATTTTATTAGAATCACTATATGATAAAAATTTAATATATAATTTTGTAAAAAATGATGAGTGATTTTTTTTTATTTAAAAGGACAATTATACATGTCAGGCTTTACAAAAAATTTTACCCTAAACCTTAAAATATTTTCCCAAGGCCCTGCCACTATTATATATAGATCATGTGTTAAAATATGTTTCTTTTTCTTTTTTTTTTTTTGGCTTGTTGTATTAAAATATAATTCTACCCTACTTTTTAATCAATTTTATTTCTCTGTCCAGTTAAATTTAATAAAATGTTGTTTTCTTGTCAATCAATTCAATAAAATGCTGAATTTTTTTTTTAAAATTAATAATTTGGGTGCGTTGAACTTATTTGAATTAGACTTAAATGTCAAACTTAATTAAAATTACTGACTCTACATACATATAAAGCCGATAATCCTAACAATCGACCTTATTCAGATTGAATTTAAAATATTTTACATTTTAAAAAAAATTTATATAATCAAACTCGATTTTAATTTTTTTGGATAAGTTCGGGTTACCTTAAATTATCAGCTCTCTCTCTGTTTTTTTCTTTTAACGAGCATAATAAAAAGAAAGAAATCGGGAAGAATAAAATAAGTTTAAAAAAAATATCAAAAAGACAATAAGAACCCCAACAAAAAATAAGTAGCGGATCCATTTCTCTTCGTCGACGAACGAGCATTCCACACTCCGTCGGACGCCGTCCACCGCTGTCAGCCCCTGTGTGGTTGTTCTCGGGCAAGCAGTGAAGGAGGTTCGAACCCTAGGGCCTTTTCTACTCCCAAAATCCGGTGAGATTGATTTGTTCAATCTGGCTTTGAATATAGATTTGAATTTGTTCCCCGCGTCATCTCTTCCCTGTGTGGTTGTTCTTGCTTTGTTTTAAATTTTTCGTTTTAATTTGGCTTTGAATCTGGTTGTGTAATCGTTTTAATATTGGCGCTTTTGAATTTGGGAGTATTTACAGAATGAGTTTTTTAGGTACTGGTTTTTGCTTGAATGGTGTGCGCTTGGCTGTTATACTTCTTCCCGCTTCATTTTGATTCCTAGGGACTTGTATGATTTGGTTGTGTTGTTTTGTAATGTTGGATTTGTTCTGTATTGACATTCTGTTTGTTAATCTTTTTATATCATCATCAATTTAGAAAATTCACAGGGCATTTGTGATGTATGATCTTGTAAATGACTTGGCTCGGGTTGCATCAAAGCACCTGGAACAAAAATTAAAAGGGTATTACATCAACTATGCATATTTCAAAGATTTCAGTGGGGGGCATCCCCCACTGAGTGTAATACAGTTCCGCCTATGGCCATAATTTGCTGTTCTATGGTGGTGCTCTATCTATTCGTGTTGCTGAAGCATTCGTGAATACTAAGCAGTACGGATCTACATGATGCGTGATATTTGTTTATTTGCTTTTGGTACAAGCAATTTGGTTTTTAGCATCTTGTTTTGGAATTAAACTGATGGGTTTTCTTCGTTTTCTCTACTACCCAAATTATAACAAAATCCACATATAATTATGCATGTCTTTGTTTAAATATATGTTACACTCATATGCACTTGCTGGTGCCAAAATCCACATATATTTATTTTTGATTGGTGGTTTCACTTACTGTAATTATCATAGGATGACTTTTTATGAGTAAAAAAAAAAAAAAAAAAATTTCCCTGTGGAGGAATTTGACAAACCTAGAGACGTAGACCTATAAGTGTGACAAATGGGTAACAGATGATCTCTTTCAAGCCGACAACCTCCAGCTTAATTGGGAGCATGAGGGTTATTCTAACTTTGTAGACCTATTGTGTGTATGTGAGGATTGCTTTACCCTGCCTGTTTAGTTACCTTTGTAGTGCACACACTCGTATTTGTTTTAATTTTTTTTTAATTCTCATTTTAAAAAAACATTTCCTAAACTTGGCTCCATGGGGTTTTGATGCTTGCTGCCATTAACAACCATATTCATCGACTATACTGTTTGGGACTCTAACTCTATCATTATTTGGAAACACTTTGGATCTATTTGAGCTAAAAGACCTTTTCCTTAAGATATGGTTTAAGTAACATATTTTGAGAAACAATGCATCTGATTTCACACTTCAAATGATAGAAGCAATTCAAGTTCTCAATTATTCATTGAGTGGGCTTGGGAGATTTTTAAGAATCGTTTATGCACACTTATTATACATCTGATCAACTCATCTTATAGTAACAGTTGAAAGATTCAATTTGAAATCTTGGTTTTTTGTGAATATAAACTATCTTTAAATTGCATTTTTCCCTCACATGTAGCAAATAATCTGGTGACTATAAGTTTTGGCCTTTTGTTTTGTTACTTTTAAATCTTGCCATCAATATTTCTGTCACAAATTTGGATGCGTATATGCCAAGTCATATGAGTAAATTTGGTTTATTTGAAGTTTTAAGGAAATATTTATTTGGATTTACGTTCTTGTGCTCAAGTGACGAGCCAAAATACTAAGCAAAATAGTTTCTCTGTCTGGATTAATGCTTCTGTAATCTTGTTCCCTTTTAATTTATAGTATCAACTTACAACTGATAGGCACCATGTCCACCTAATGTGTCATGATTTTGTCCTTGGATAATTGTTGGTTTAATTCCAGAAGTTGATTTCTCTATTGAAAGCTTATTTGATAAAAATAATTATGATGTTATTTTTATTTTCACAGGAGAATTTGTGTTCCTTGCAGAAAATGAGTAGCCTGGTTGAGAGGCTTCGTGTGAGATCAGATCGCAAGCCAGTTTATAATATAGATGAGTCAGATGATGATGCTGACTTTTTGCTTGGGAAACCCGGGAGATTTGAGGAAACGTTTGAGAGGATAGTTAGAAGTGATGCTGTGAGCTACTTTACTCCCTTTTGCATTAATTATTTTCATTTGATTTAAGTGAGAATTTTGTTTCTTGTATGACTTCAACACGTTAAATATCATTTACTAAGGTTTATGTGTTGAGTACACTGCTTATTGGGTGACTGAAAGTATAATTAACATTAGTTTCTGTACACAAAGACCCAGTTGTTCCTAATTGTGTTGCTGTTGTGTCACGGAATATTCTGCCCAACTAAAGACGTGCTTCATGAATTTAAAGACATTAGCAATCAATAATTTTGACATACTGATATTGATTGGTGAGACTATTTGTGTTGTTGCCAAGTCATCGAATAGGCTTCCAAACTTGAGGTATTCCTTTGTGAATTCAAAGACATTAAGAATTCTGACGTACTATTGATTGGATAGAAATTTGGTGGAGGAAAAACTTATTCCTTAAAACTTTGGTTCTAATTCAGTGTTGTTTGGCATTGAATGTATAGATTGATGATTGGAGACGTTTCATATGATTTAAGCGAACCATAGAGTTGTCTTTTTAAGTAATAAGATGGAAGAGTATTTCTATACACCTATTATGAATGCTTCCCCCTTTAATATAACGACTATAACCAGTCACCCTTTCCTGCTTTTAAAATGTAATATGCTACAAGGGTTAATTGAAGGAGTATCTTTGTAACTATGTCATGTTTCACTTGCATTTTATGTTTTTCATCAGGTAGTTGACATCATTTGGTCCATTACTAATGGATTAGAATTATTATTTTTTAATACGTGAAAGTTTGGTATTTGTCATTGTTTTATTTGTAGCATCTTCTTTGCTTCTTATATTTGGTGTCCTTGCTTTAGACTAGCAATTGAATTTTCCGCCTTCTCTTAATGTGTTATCCCTTCCGCTAGAAAGAGAATTCATGCCAAGCCTGTGGGGAAAGTGAAGATCTTCTTAGCTGTGAAACATGTACTTATGCTTTTCATCCTAAGTGCTTACTTCGACCACTTAGAGCTCCACTTCCGGATAGTTGGAGATGCCCTGAATGTGTAAGCCACAATGTTTCATGGTTAATCATATTACAGTTATCCTTCCTTGGTGGAGGGCCTTGAATCAGTTCTTGCTTTTGCAGGTTAGCCCATTAAATGATATTGAAAAGATATTAGATTGTGAGATGCGCCCAACTGTAGCAGGTGATGATGGCGAGGCCTTGAAACCGGGCTTAAAGCAAATTTTTGTCAAACAATATCTTGTTAAGTGGAAGGGACTTTCATATCTGCACTGCACGTGGTAAATTTGGGGAACTTTCCCCCCCCTTCATTTAAGTTCCAGTTTCACATGATTTCTTATGCTATGAAGTTTTAAAATTCTGTTGATCTTTTTGCAATGCTTTCCGGTTGCCACTCTTATCTCCAATTCTACCTTTTTTCTGAATCATTCCAATTTTATAGTTGAGTATTGATTTTAGCTTTTCAAGCACTCTTTCTTAAGATTTTCTCTGCTCTGAACCATTTGATCCTTTTGGGCATTGTGTACTTACTGGCCGCATGTTTTCCTATTCAGGGTTTCAGAGAAAGAGTTTTTGAAAGCTTTCAAGTCACATCCTCGTTTGAAGACCAAAGTGAACAACTTCCACCGTCAAATGGCATCTACAAATACTTCTGAGGAAGATTTTGTTGCCATTCGACCTGAATGGACAATGGTTGATCGTATACTTGCTTGCAGGTTCAACTATTTGGAATTTTTATATGCCTGCTTTTTGTGCAAAATAACATGTAATGGTTTTTGTTTTATTAAACTGAGCTATTAAGTATTTATTCAAGGCTTTGAGTGAATTTGAAATAATTTAGTAAGAGTTCTGCTTGCGCGGGTGTGTTAAGTTAGGTCCAAACTGTCATATTTCCTTGAGGTTGATCAGATGTTGAAATAGAAGTAATGCGCAACATAAGATTTTCAGAAATTAGCAAGTTATAGATGTAGTTATTTCATTTTTTATATTTTTTGGGTTCTTACCTCTAAAATCATTATTATTTGTAGTGATTGTTTTGTTCTGTCTTTTCAGTAGTACTCAAACAATGCTTATATTCTCATAAATGCATTTTTAATGGCTCAGGGGTCATGATGATGAGAAGGAATATCTTGTGAAATGGAAAGAGCTTTCGTATGATGAATGCTATTGGGAGTCCGAGTCTGATATTTCTGCATTTCAGCCAGAAATAGAAAGATTTACAAAATTTCACTCTAGGTCTAGGAGAAGTGCTTCTAGTAAGCAGAAAAGCAGTATTAAGGATGGTGCTGAAGAAAAAAAGCAGCAGAAAGAATTTCAACACTACGAACATAGCCCTGGCTTTCTTTCAGGAGGTATGTTGTTTTCACTTATCTCTCCTTCTGGCAATAGCATGCTTTAAGTTCAGATCATATAGATCACCTGATTTCATTTCGATGCAAATGAAGGTACCCTACATCCATATCAGCTTGAAGGCTTGAACTTCTTACGTTTCTCTTGGTCTAAGCAAACTCATGTTATACTTGCTGATGAAATGGGGCTCGGTATTTAGTCTCTGTTTATTTCTCTTATTCCCTACTATTTACTGCCTCTTTTTACTGTGTCTTCTCTCCCCCTTAAATTGGAGTATCAAGTATCAAACAGAAATATATGGTTGCACGTTGATTATTGAGTTGTTTGCCTGCAGGCAAAACCATACAAAGTATTGCTTTTTTAGCATCTCTTTTTGAAGAGAGAGTGTTTCCCCATCTAGTGGTTGCTCCACTGTCAACTCTCCGAAACTGGGAACGTGAATTCGCAACATGGGCGCCTCAAATGAATGTTGTATGTAGATGGGATTTTTAGCTTGTGTTGTTTTGTGGCCATTCTTTTAAGTATGTGTTCCTTTCTGCAGGTTATGTATGTTGGATCTGCCCAAGCTCGAGCTGTCATAAGAGAGTATGAATTTTACTTTCCCAAGAAACAGAAGAAGATCAAGAAAAAGAAATCTGGCAAAATAGTCAGTGAAAGCAAGCAAGATAGGATCAAATTTGATGTCCTTTTGACATCATATGAAATGATCAACTTTGACTCATTATCCCTGAAGTCTATAATGTGGGAATGCATTGTAATGTTCTACTTACCATTATAGTAAAATACAAGAACACTTTACCATTATTGTTCAGCACTATTTAACCTCAATGCTTTCTGCATTCTTTCTAATATCAATGCTCATGCAGATAGTTGATGAAGGTCATCGACTTAAAAACAAAGATTCAAAATTATTTTCTTCATTGAAGCAATATTCAAGCAGACATCGTGTACTTTTGACAGGGACTCCTCTTCAGGTTTGTTTTAGATGATGCGCTGTGCCATAGCTCATTCACTGCATGATTTTGTTTGGATAGTAATTTCTTCATAGAAAGGGAATCTTTCTTTTTTTGCCTTGTTGCTTAATGATTTCATGTTGAGTTCTTGATCTCAAAAGATGTCTAGCATAAGTTCAGAGTGTCTGTTGATAGTTTGTTTTACTTGGCCCTGTTTTGCATACAAAACACATTAAATTTGGTTATTGGAATGCCAGGTGAGAATTCATATTATTCTTATGATGTGGATATAATTCTTTTTAAATTTGTTAAGTAATGGAATAGCATAAAGAAATTGGGTTTGGATTGTGGTTATTGCACATGCGGATATTATGGATGCAGTTAAAGTAACTGCTGACACTGCAGATGTAGTTATTGCAATCGTGGGTTTGCTTTTTGAAAGTTTCACAAAATGTCTGTAAAAGTCTTGTAGCGATTAATTCATCTTTATTTATATTTTTACACATACCTTTGAGTCATTAAATTATTGTTACGTAGAAGAAAATAAACTTATATTAGTTGATTATTTAATGCTACAAAAAACAAAAATTGTTTTTCCTTTTAATCTTAATATCAGTTGAAGAATAAGATGGCTATTCTATACATTTTATACAAGAATAAGTATCTTATTCTGTACATTATTAATTAGTACTTACCAATTTGGTGTTAATTATGCAATGCATGGTTTACTTTCAAAATCACAGATTTCCATGGGGAAAAAATCTATTTCCTTTATCTTTGAAGTGGATGTCCTATGGGCATTGCAGCTGCTGTTTGCTCTGTTTTTTTTTCCCCCTTTGCCTTCAACACCTCTGATTTAAGAACATAGCACAAATGCTTTGTGATGTGATGCAGCACCAACCAGCTCTGCAGTGCTGTGGCTGCATCACTTGATGTAGTTTGCAATTTCAAACCATGTTAAAGAATAAAACTGTTTATAACAAGTACTTTTAGTGTTCGACTGAGTTTATGTCATTGCTATGTGTAATACTCCCTCCAGTCCAAAATATAAGTATTTTTTAATAATAATCTGCATACAAATAAAATCCTTATTCTCATGAAAATATATATTATTTCCCCTTTTTACCCTTTGTTCCAATTTATGATGAGTGAGAAGGATGTTATAAATTCTCAAACACGTGAATCTAGGTTAATAAATATAAGGGGTAAAATAGGATTTTTTTTTTTAAGAAAAAGAAATATTATATTGCTTATATTTTTGGACCAAGATTAGCCGGAAGAAAATGCATATTTTGGACTAGAGGGAGTGTTGCTTAATTGCTTAACTAAGCCTTTTGAATAAATTCATATTTCTACATGTGAGAGGTGTCTATGTTTGTATATCATCGCTTCACTCTGATGGCCATAATGGTGTTTGGATCTGATCCTATTCTTTTTCTTTTTTGCATTTAATGTGGTTAGCTTGTTATATTTTGTTTTTGGGTACTCCTAGTGTTGATTCTGATTTTCAACCAACAAACCTGTTTATTGGTGCTATTGGCTTTTTTATTTTTATTTTTTTCATGGCAACTTGTTTGTTACGCATCATAACCTTGAATGCATATGAGTGACTGTTAGTCTGGCTGAATATGATGAAATTATTTACTGAAAGTTGAAACCTACTGATGGCAACTTGTCTGGTACATTTCAGAACAATTTGGATGAACTTTTCATGCTAATGCACTTCCTTGATGCTGGGAAGGTTAGTATGATGATAAGACTATGATGCAAAAAATGAGTTCAAGTTTCTTATCTTGCTAATGAATGTTGACTGTCTTATGGAATACTTACTGCTGGTAGTTTGGAAGCTTAGAGGAGTTCCAGGAGGAGTTTAGAGATATTAATCAGGAGGAGCAGATATCAAGGCTTCACAAAATGTTGGCTCCACACCTCCTCCGAAGTATACATCTCAAACTTGAATATGATCTTATTGCACCTTATTTGCTTGTCTGGTTTTTGTCACCTTGCAGGCTGTGTTGGTTTGTGTTAGTCTTACTGGTTTTGTGATTGGATTTTATGTTGCCTTCATCTAAGTTCCTAGATAGAATGATGGTGAACCTAGCATGGTGCTTGTGGTAGCAATCAACTTTTGTGATATTTATTGCAGTTTCTTATAGTTGTTGGATCTTTTTGAGCATTTCATTACGGAAGTTTAAGCTATAAGGTGAAAGCTTATGATTGAATTTATTTGCATCTCTAACTTGCACCCCTACTTAAATGTTATTTGGACTTCTAAGTGTGAACAAGGCATAATGTCATGTCCCACATTAAAGGGACTTGGGGAGGGTCCTGGGAATAAGTGAGTGCGCTGCACACCTCATTGAGCTAGGCTTTTGGAAAGAGAGTAATGGCCCATGACAGTGGTATTAGAGCCGAACTTAGGTTTGCCCAGTCAATGGGCTCCTCCAGTGGGCTACCTATGATGGGAAAATCATGGATTGGCCAAAGAAGTTGTTACATCACACATTGGAAGGACTTGGGAAGGGTGATGGGCATATAAGCGAATGTCCACAGACCCCAATAAGCTAGCATTTTTGGGAAAGAGTAATAATCCCATGACAATGGGCTTGAAAAGCATTATGGTAAGACGTAACTTGGTTAGGGGAATATGGGTTACTCAGATCAACTTCTGGCCACTTGGTCATGAAGCTTCATTATCATACCAGGCTATCATCCTAAAAGCTTAAGCTATTAGGCTAAGGTCTGCAATTTGTTTTATTAATGTCTAAATCCTCCTTTTCTCAATTTATGTCCTCTCTAGCAACCTTGTCCTTGTAGAAGTTGTGGTGTCTGCAATTGGCTGGATAAATGTGGCAAACTTTTTCAAAAAGTGTTGGTCCTATTATGCATATATTTATACCTAAAAAAGAATGCTTGCAGTTTTTGTCAGAATGAATAAAACTTATCCTAGAAGTTTGATATGTTTGACTTGATCTAGTTATTTTATTTTTTTGTGCATGAGGTTACCCGAGCTTCCACATTTAGTTCTTACGGTAATTTGGTATTAGGGGGAAATTACAAGAGGACTCAGGGTCTTTATTGATCAAAACTTCATAATTCTTATAGCCAATTAAGATGATTCTTTGTTTTTGAATAACTATTATGTCTCAAACTGTGTATTTAAAATTTTGATGCCCCTGTAGGAGTGAAGAAAGATGTGATGAAGGAGTTACCTCCAAAAAAGGAACTTATTTTAAGAGTTGAGTTAAGCAGCAAACAGAAGGAGTATTATAAGGCAATTTTGACACGTAATTATCAAATATTAACTCGACGTGGTGGTGCACAGGTAAGATCCATACTTCATTGAACCTGATCCTTTTGATATTCTAATCTTATTCTTAGCTTTGTAACATTTGATAAAAAATTTCTTGGTTGTAATTTATCGTGATGTTATTATTGTTGTTGGATGCTTTTAATCAGATTTCTCTTATCAACGTTGTTATGGAATTACGCAAACTATGCTGTCATCCTTACATGTTAGAAGGAGTTGAGCCAGATATTGAAGACCCAAAAGAATCGTATAAGTAAGCTCTCTGTTCTTATGTCATTTCTCTGAGTTCGCTTGTGGTTGTCTTTCTGAAAGATTGTGAGCTCTGCTTTTGTGGCAGTACATGTTCTTTTATATGGGATGTTGAAGATCGTTAACTTGTTTAGCAAAGATGAAACATATGGTGCTACTATATCTCAGTCCCTAAGGCTGAAAGTCGCACTGTTTAGGGCTTTGTGAAATTTTGGCTTCCGGTAGTTTATATATGTTGATTTTTCTTTTTCCCCTATTTTGTTTTCACTCTATGGCAGACAGCTTCTGGAATCATCAGGAAAGTTGCAATTGTTGGACAAGATGATGGTGAAGCTTAAAGAGCAAGGACATAGAGTCCTCATATATTCACAATTTCAGCACATGCTGGACCTGCTAGAAGATTACTGTTCGTACAAGGTATTTGGATGAGGATATTAAGGCATTGTGAACTTGATATATTTCTGTATGATAATCCATTTGTTTTTCATTTTAAAAACAGAATTGGCAGTATGAAAGGATAGATGGCAAGGTTGCTGGAGCGGAAAGACAGGTTAGGATAGATCGCTTTAATGCCAAAAATTCCTCGAGATTTTGCTTTCTTCTTTCTACCAGAGCTGGAGGACTGGGAATAAACCTTGCAACTGCTGACACAGTTATTATATATGACAGGTGAACCTACATTTTATTTTATTATTATTTTTCCTTTTTTTCTGAAATTATATTTTTATGAAAATTATAGTGCTTCTGGTAATGAAATAAGCGTCACTATTTGAAGGTAATTTGTACTGAAGATTTTCATGACTCAACTTATTGTGAAGCTTGCTGATTCTTTTAAATTTAAATATCCAAATTCAACATAATACAACATCTATGATTTATTGATAGATATAGTAAATCCTATAGTTTGGGAACGGTTCTTCAGCAAATTAAGTAGTTTAAAAATTGCATACCATAAAGCAGAAAATGTCAAATAGACAATGCAGTCTTAGCGAACAATAAACTCGTGTATATGTCAAAATATACATGTGAGAGTATCAGTAATACTCTCCCTCAAGCTGGTGAATGGATGTTTAGCATTATCAGTTTTTTTTTTTTTTCAACCCTTCAAACTTTACACAGGGCAGAGTCGTAGTTAAAATGTCACCAGTAACTTGACTTTAAGAAGCTACATGATGCCGCTTGATGACTCCTCAATCCATCTTTTCTTTTATGAAGCTTCTGTCTAGCTCTGCATCTTTTGTCTTGTCATGGTGAACTGAGTTATTGTCCATGTTTATTTTAGCTTGTCACATAACACCTTCGTAGGACAATAAATGGGAAATTTCAACTCTTGTCGTAGCCTTCCCCGTAGCCACTATTGATTGTTTATTTTGCTTCACCAAGTAACACGATATCCCCAAATGTATTACAATACCCTCCTATAAACCGTTATGTCTTTCTCTCTTCACCCTTGAAGTAAAAACCGTTTCCATGTGTCATTTTCAAATACTGAAAAATTCAGAACGCTGCTTGAATATGCCCCTCAACAGGTTTATTCATGAATAGGTTTACTATACTTACTAGGAAGCTGATATTTGGTCTAGTGTGTGTTAAATAGATGAGCTTACCAGGAAGTCTTTGATATCTTCATGCATTCACAGGTGAACTATCATTTTTAGATCCTGTCTTGTTTGTAGGCTCCATAAAGGTGTTGTGAGTTTGCATCCCAACTTCCTTGTCTCCCTTATGCCCTGTTTGGTATGAGCTTATGAGGTATTGAATTTTAAAGAATTGGGGATGGGATTGGGAGTGGCATTGGGAGTGGGAATAAATTCTAAAATGATGTTCGGTATGGTGTGGGAATAAAAAAAAAAATAATAATAACATGCAGATCAAACAAACATTAACCAAAAAGACAAAAATGCCCTTGTCCTCTTCCCTGACCAGTGGCTGTTGTTGGAGGCCTCAGATATCGCCGGAGTAACCTTGTCAACTGACTATTAAACCCTCTACTCACTAGTAGTTCTTCAAGACTTCTACCTTTCCTACTCCCATCCAGTAGAGCAATTGCATGTGAAGTCAGCAAGCAAGAACTGTTAGGTGATCTATTTATTTAATAATATATAGGAATAAATTCAATTGAATCTTGCACTAGTGATGAAGCTAGCTTTGAGCTTTGATGGAAGGAATAAGGAATACAAACAGCCTCAGATTTCTCGTCGAAGACCTCTGAATGCCTTCTCAAACTTGAAGAACCTAGAAAGGAATCATCGAAGGTCTCAAATTTCTTGGTTGTCGGTGCTCAACAAACCTGGAAATAAATCTTGAGAGATAAAGATAAGTCTGTCTAATCTTCAAGATATTGAATCATTGAAAGCTATGGATGTTTGTGAAGCAACACCATCAGAGAAATCTTTTGCCACGGTCGTTATTGAAGGCAAGGTTTCAATGAACTCAAACTTGAACCATTGGCCATCAATGGATCTCAAACCTGAACCTAATCGCCCACTGATGGTCGTTGCTATTAGTATTAATGAAGGGAGAAGTCAGATTTGTTCGTTGATAGAGGGAGGAAGATGAAGGCTGAGAGAGAATGGAGAAAGAAGAAGAACAAGAGGCAGAAGATCTGTTCACGGATAGAGGGTATTTTGGTCTGAAAACTTCTAATCCCAGGTTTAAATTTCCAATACCATCTCCCCCATGGGTTTCATTAATCCCACCTATGTGGGCTTCACCAAACCCAAGTAATAAGGAGACCGGCGTACCAAACACTCAATCAGTGGGTTTCTCCAATCCCCACCCTCTAATGCTTTCTGCCAAACAAGGCCTTAGTACTTCTTCTAAGGTATTGATTTTTGGACCACGCTATGTCCATTCAAGAAGTAGTTCAATTCTCCTAATGCTTTGATTGCAAATTGCTGTCTTCAGCCTTGCAACTTCAACCTTGACATTAATCGTGACTATCATGTCATCCACAGGAACTATTAAAACTGCCAGTAAGCCTAAGAAGAAGTTTGAGTGAATTGGGTGTTATGTATACCCATATCCTTCATAGCCTTAGCGGCAAACTATTAATTCTAGAGCCATGCTTTAACACATTTGCTAAGTTTGCACCCTTGTTATTGCCTAATTCAACTTCAATCCATGGTGGTATCTCCATGTATACTTCTTCCTCCAAGTCTCCATTCACATCTAAGTTGCAATAGACAGTAAAATTGAGTTAAACTTCGACACAGGAGTGAAGGTTTCCTTGTAGTCAATACTGTAGGTTTGAGTAAAACCCTTGGCATATAGTCTCACTTTGTGCATGTTAATGCTCCCATCTGCATTATGTTTAAAGGTGAATATCCACTGCATCCCATTTTTTTTCTTAAGGGCACTTGACTCATCTTGAAGCGCTGCTGTCCACACGGATTAAGCAGGACCTTCACTAATACGTGTGGCAATCTTCTCCTTTTTGATACTAGAAACAAAAAACTGTGATGAGGTGATAATTTATCATAAGATACAAATTCCCAAGAGGTGTTGGGTACATGACCTTCTTCCTTTTTGAAGAGCAATAGACACATCTAAAACATCCTCGGTGTGGCTCAATCACTTCTGGACAAGGAGTAGGTCTTGATGCATGCTTCATAGGAGCTGGCTCTAGTACCTTCTTCCTCCTTGTGTATGTATGTCTTTAGGCTTCGTTGTTGCTCCTGTTCATGCTGAGCCAGTGCTGTATCCTAATTTTGGACTCATGTAATGGCTGTTTTTCATGTTGTGGTGGTGTTTCAGGTCTGCCTGACTAGAAGCTGTAACTCTCATTAGGCAAAAATCAGACATAACTCTCAAAAGCAAGGCAACTCTTTCCTACTAATCTAAATAGAACATTTAAACTAATGTTAGCCAAATCAAGATAATGAATTTATCCTAATTCTGATGCACATTTAAGTGTTAATAGATAAGTAAATAAAAATACCGAACTTAATTGAAATGACAAATGAAACGAAAAACAACTTTATCAGGGTAGGTTTCAACAATAAGAAGCTTTATCTCACAAAATGAGTTTGCTGCATGAATTGGATGATATCATTGGGCTTTATCTGCAAATAAATCTGCATGGGATTAAATTTTATGTGTTTTTCATTCTGCAATCCAATTTTTTAAATCATTATTTTACACTGATAAACTATCATTTTGTAGTGATTGGAATCCTCATGCTGATCTACAAGCTATGGCTAGAGCTCATCGACTTGGGCAAACTAACAAGGTTGGAATTCAATTTTATTAATTAAAAATTGAGTATCACTATTGCCTTATGTGGAGCTTTCTGGTGTTTCAGGTGTTGATTTATAGGCTTATAACACGAGGAACCATTGAAGAGAGGATGATGCAAATGACTAAGAAGAAAATGGTGTTAGAACACTTGGTTGTTGGAAGGCTAAAGGCTCAAAACATTAATCAGGTAAATAATTCTCTTTTAGCAAAGCCTTATCTGTGTAATTTAAATCAGCAACGTTTTATCATCTTCTCTTGTGCTTTTTTATTTCTAAATGAACAAAACTTTTTTATGACTGGGAGTGTAAACGCTGATATATATGCCATTTAGTTAACATAGCTTTTCTTTCTTTCTTTCTTTTTCTTTTTTAATGTTAAAGTCAAATGTTGGTTAGTGGTTTCAAGTGTTTACAGGGGAATTTGTTCATTTGTGCATTGCTCTTCTCCTCTTCTTTAAATTCCTTCTTTCTTTATATTAAAAAAATTAGTTTTGAAGATCTGATGGTATCTGATCATTGATTGTGCTTAGGAAGAGTTGGATGATATCATTAGGTATGGGTCAAAGGAGTTATTTGCTGATGAGAATGATGAAGCTGGCAAATCCCGCCAAATCCATTATGATGATTCTTCAATAGATAGGTAGCCCTGCACTAATCTTGAATCATGGTGTCGGTCTGTGATAGTAAATTTCATTTGATGTATTCTGCTCATTTATAGATTGTTGGATCGTGAGCAAGTTGGAGTTGAAGAGGCTATCTTGGATGATGAAGATGATGATGGATTTCTGAAGGCTTTTAAGGTTTATTTTATCATTTCATCATGCGCATCAATTCTTGTGTTCATGCTTGGTCTTATCCACTTTGGTTTGTGGTTTTGTCCGGAGGCCTGCTTGATTTCTTCTCCTTAGTCTTTTTTTTTTTTGGTGTCTGCATGCATAGATAAACTTACGCATGGGCTCCCATATCTGAATTAAATGTAATTAGCAAGGGCATTAGGAGGGAGGAACCAAATAACAAGCATTCATAGTAACAAACATTCTTTTGCCCTGCCCCTGTATATACATTATCTTTCTCTCTGTTTTTTGAAATCTTGTTCTTTTTTGTTGCACTAAGAGCATCCTGTCTTTTTTATAATTGTTGCTGGTCACATATTGTTCAGCTGTAAACATCTTTGATTTATTATCATTTTTTCCCATATAATGAATTTTATCTTTTCAAGTTACCATGTGTCATGGTTCCTTCTGGTGGGTATGGCTTGTTTTTGTTTGTTTATAACTGTTGGACAAAAATTGTTCCATTTTTTAAAAAATAAAAAGTTGCGATAGAAATTTCTCAGTTCAACATGTATCACCATTAATTTCCCTATGTATTGCAAATGTAACTAAATTGTGTGGGATCTTCTTTCTATTTGCAAATGTTGGTAAACTGAGTATTTTTTTTTTTTTTAGGTGGCAAATTTTGAATATATTGATGAAGAGGCTGCAGCAGAGGAGGCAAGGAAAAAAGAAATGGAAAGTAAAAATACTGTTAACAATTCAGATAGAGCAAATTACTGGGAGGATTTGTTGAGAGACAGATATGAAGAGCATAAAACTGAAGAGTTAAGTTCCTTGGGCAAGGGCAAGCGAAACCGCAAGCTGGTATGTGTTTTTGGAGTCCATGGCATGTGCTGGTATTAATTTGAAGATGGGTTCTTGTTGACTATAATAATTTGCAAGTAACGCAACTGTGCTAATATATTCTGTTTGATCTGTTTTTGGCATGTATGTATACATACATGAAATATGTTTACTTGTACACAGAAGGGGGGAAAGCATTTTTTTACCACTTTTGTCTCACACTTCCGAACGCTTGTTCCTGTTTTCTCTCTTGAAAATCAGTTCCCTCTTTTTCTGTCCAGGTTTAAATTTTTTCCTTTCTTATCGTTCTGTAAGCAGAAGATTTTCATGTTGAATGAGGACGTTGCTGTAATTCTTTGCATTATCTCTCTTTTTCTGTGCTTAGGAGGAAAGCGAAAAATGGCATGCGTTAATGATGGAACCCAATCCAAAACTCATTTTAGTTATCAAATAATGGTGCAATATCCTTGTCTACTGGAGAAAAGTGGACAATACGATGATAAAAGAAGGCCTTGTTTTCAGTAAGCAAGGATGTGAACATAAAAGGATAAAAAATAATTGTTCTTCTGGTACCAAGCCCCAAATGACGATTCCCCCACTCCCAAAGATCCAGCCACCCTAAATTGAACTCGCACCTGATATAATAGCCCTAACAGCCCTCCTCACGCATCACACTACATGTGATGATATACCTGGTGATATTCTCCCTTCGCCCCCATTGACCAGCTCAGTGCTATCGTTTATCTATTTTGGGCTTCCCGTCACTCTTCTCCATCTTTCTCCTGTTTGTGTGAGAGAAAATTAGTTTTATGACAAGGAGAACATGGAAGGAGAGAGTTAAAATGAAACAGAATTACCTAAATACTTTTTGGTATAGATTATGCTGATGGTGCTGATTGGTACTTCAACAAGGAGAGTTCCACATTTACTATTTGTACTTTGAAATTTCCATCATCATCATTGAAAGCGATGTCTGTATTTGCCAACTTTTAGATGGCTTCTGTTGAGGAGGATGATCTCGCTGGTCTAGAAGATGTAAGCTCTGATGGTGAAGATGACAACTACGAAGCAGATCTTACTGATGGTGATTCAAATTCAACTGGAACTTCTTCGGGTAGAAGGCCTTACAGAAAGAAAGCCCGTGGTATATTTTTCTCTTCAGTGAACTTTTTTAATTATTTTGATGGTGATGGATTTTGATTATCTTTCTATGACTCTGACGTTGATTTCTCTGTAATCTCTTACAGCAGATAGTGCAGAGCCACTTCCTTTGATGGAAGGGGAAGGAAAATCATTCAGAGTACTTGGTTTCAATCAAAGCCAGAGGGCTCAATTTGTGCAAATTTTGATGAGGTTATGCTCTAGTTGGTTAAAGATTGTGCCTGAATTTGTCCTTTGGCTTTTATGTATTGAAGAAATGTTCTGCCTGTCTGCAGTTAATCTCACTTCAAGAGTCTATTACAGGTTTGGAGTTGGTGATTATGATTGGAAGGAGTTTGCTCCCCGCTTGAAACAAAAGACATATGAAGAAATCAAAGAGTATCTATATGGATCTTTCTTGAGTTTTGTGATCATTTTTGTGGTGTTCTATATCATTAGTTGACTTTTATTATTTGAGTTTGTGCTAACATTTTTTGTCTGGTTGCAAACTTTTTTAGACTTGGTATCTTTTCTTTCGAGAGTTTATTTTTTTGGTAAGGCAGTGGGAGTTAGCTCTGTAGAATGGAAATTGACATTATTGCCTGCGTATTTTATATTCACATAGATTATAGTTGTAGTCTGGATCTATTAGTTCGGGCTTACTGATATGAATATACTTTTGGATTTGTGATGAGTTATATCTCGTGTATATGCTCTCCTGGGATGAGGTTGGTTAGGTTGGCTAATCTATACGTATGAGTGAACTGCATATAAGGTTGTATTATCTTTCTGCAAAATCATTGCTTATGGATGTTTTGGCTTTGTGAAAAACAAAAAGTTGCAGGGATGATCAAGCAAATATTTAGGGGTGTTCTTGATCATCTGGCTCTTTTAATATATTATTTGGCAAACAAATGTTTATTTTTACTGCATTTTCTGTCTGACTAGAATTTTTCCTATATTTGTGTGCCTTAGTCTTGACCCATGACTATATATTTGTTCCTGGATACGCAAGAGATCATGCATGTGCAAGTGGACCTATATTTTTTCCTGAAAAGCTATTATTTACCATAGGGTAAAATGGACCTAAATTAATCTAATAATGTTTTAAATACCTTAGTATTGTTACCTATCAATTGTTTGTATCATACCTTGATTTTTGTGAGCGAATACAGTTTTTCCTTTCCTTTTCTTTTTTCTTTTTTCTTTTCAGTTATGGATTCCTTTTCTTGTCTCATATCGCTGAAGATATAACAGATTCCCCTACATTCTCAGGTGATAGATTCTTCCGCTACATTTTCTATTTTCAGTAGAGATTGACCTTGATTTATATCTTCGTTTATCAAATGTTTATATTTTTGTCCGTGATTTGGCTCTAGATGGTGTTCCAAAAGAAGGACTTAGAATACATGATGTACTTGTTAGGATTGCTGTTCTTCTCTTGATAAGGGACAAAGTAAGTTCCTCAAATCAACTTTCTTTATGCTTATCTGCTTGGTATCATCTTATCATGTTACGTTTAACTACGCATGTGATTTCATTTATGAGAATTAGAGTAGTTCGTTCTATTAGAGTCTATTCTTTTCTTTTCTTCAGTGGGCGAAGCAGTTCCTTTGTTGTTACCTTTCTTGAAGATGATGTTGGTTTTCCCCTCTGGGGATGTGAAATGACAGGTGAAGTTTGCATCAGAAAAGGATCCTGGAACTCTGCTTTACACAGATGACATCTTATTGCGGTATCCTGGTTTGAAGGGTGGAAAGATATGGAGGGAGGAGCATGATGTAGTGTTACTGCGTGCTGTGTTGAAGTAAGTTGCTTTGTTTTTATATTCAATGAAGTTGCATTACTTAAGGCAAAAAGTAAGTGTTTATTTATACTGTGATTTCTTGAACAATGTTCATGATCTCCTGATGGCAAGGTGATAAATATATATGGGTTTGCATTCCATAAAGTCTATTATATATGATTTGATCTCTTGATATCCATGACGTGATCTATGGGGGGGGGCTTTTGAGGATTATTTGGGCAGCATGATGCTGGATAATATCTTGGGCACTTCCGGTTTTTGTTTCTTGATTTTTCCTGTCTGTATCTGTTTAGGATTACAGTTCCATTTTCTATGATCTGAGACAGGTGATTTTAATTTTATATTTTTGTGTTTGTTTACGTTTTTGTGTTTCGGGGTTTGTCTATTGGCATGTTCATTAAAGATACCTCCTTTTTTAAGGCATGGATACGGAAGATGGCAAGCAATTGTTGATGATAAGGATCTAAAGATTCAGGAGGTCATCTGTCAGGAGTTGAATCTTCCCGTAATAAATTTACCAGTACCAGGACAAGTTGGTACCCAGGTGCAAAATGGTGCAAATTCAACAAATGTAGAAGCATTGGCCAACCAATCTGGGGAAAATGGTGGGAATGATACGGTTGCTGATGGTGCACCTGGTTCTGGTGATGTTAGGAACCAACCACAGCTGTATCAAGAGTCTTCAATATTATATCATTTTAGAGACATGCAGAGAAGACAGGTTGAATTTGTAAAAAAGAGGGTTCTTCTGTTGGAAAAGGGGCTCTATGCTGAGTACCAGAAAGAATACTTTGTAAGTTTTATGTTTCACGGTGTATAAATTATTTTATTATTTGATGTTTAGTTTTAGAATGTATAGGTGAAAGTTTAAACAGAAGCTGATTATCTTGCCTCTTTAGATACTATCAGTGTATTAGTCACTTCAAAAGCTAATAGTTTAGTACATCGTGGGTTTTACTTTTAAATGTGTTTGAGAGATGGTTTTTGCTTTTTTATTTTTCTCCTTTTCATGGCGGGGCTTGGAGTGTTGTGGTTTAAAAAATAAATTGAAAGGACATGGATGGAGAATAAAAGTACCAGCTCAGCAGAGCATTCCAATGACCAATGCCCCTCAATCAGAACGTGAAAATCGCATCTCCTTTCTAACTATTGCACTTCTAGCATGAACTGTCTGTGCACTTCCATTTTCATGCAATCAATTCATATTTCAGGTTCATATTCTTTGTCATGATCGGGAAATTCATTATGTGTAGGTCTTAATCTGATAATGAAGATATTGTTGATGCTTTCTACAGCATTGTGATGTGTATGATTTGTTTCTAATGAACTCTGATTATGGACTGCCATTTCTTCGCTACAAACTGTGTTTGCAGGGTGACCATAATACAAATGAAGCCATGAATGTAGAATTCAAAAATGAACCAAAGGATTCGAATGTTCCAAGTTATAAATCAGGGGAGACTGACAAGCAAATGATTGATCAACTGCCTCAATTAGAAGAAATAGGTATAGTTGTGTTGTCTATTGATCGCTGTCTCATGGTTAGACGACAGCAATTACCCAATTTGTATCTGGCTATGGATCTGAAGTTCAGTTTTTCTTCTTTTTTTTTCATTCATTATTTGTCTATTGATTTTCTTGCTATCATTCTCTTCTCCTTTGAAGACCTTTTTTCATCTTTTCCTTTTGCTATTCATGTCTGACTAAATGCTCCATCCGATCCAAAATACAAGCATTTTCTCCCAGCTACTTTTGGTTCAACTATAAGCAACTTAGTATTTGTTAAAAAAAAAAAAAGTTTTCATTTTACTCCTTGTACTTGTTAACTTAATTCCTGTGGCTGTGAATTTATGACCTTCTCACTCATTATAAATTGGAACTAAGGCTAAAATTGAACAAATATATTTTCATGAGAATAAGGATTTATTGATATTTGGATTATTGTTAAAAGCTGCTTATATTTTGGACTTGGGGAGTATATGATATAAAAGTTAATTGTGGAGCTGCTATTTTGTGCAGCTGCTGAAGAATTTCCCTCTGCTGCTTGCGATAATGACCCAAATCGATTGGAATTGGTTCGACTTTACAATGAGGTATTACGAACTCCTTACGAGCTGCACTCTAAGTAATGCAAATGCAATGGGGGAGCAGAATGGTGGGAAAAGGTTCTATGCTGATTATCTGCATCAATTATATCTCTTTACTGGCAGATGTGCAGGGTTGCAGAGGAAAATACCATTGGATTGGCTGGAGGACCAGCAGATGGCAGCTTGATGAAGAACTTGCCTCCCCTAGAAACTGTTTGTGAAGACATCAATAAAATTCTATCACCCACTAAGCAAGATGATGGCACTGCAGAAATGCCAATATCGAGCCCGGGTGTCAAATCAGAGGCTTCATCGGAGAGTGAAGTTGTTGGCGCCAGATTGCCCTCAAAACCTCAAGATGACTGCAAACCTGACAATGCAGTAAACCACGAGGGAAAAGATGTGGTGATAGGGCCCGACAACGGAAAAGAAAGCTACAACAGATGGCCCTCAACTCCTCAAGATGAATGCAGACCTGACAATGCAGTAAACAACGAGGGAAAAGATCTGGTGACTGGGTCTGATCTCGGGAAAGAAGAAAGCGGATCAGAGACGAGGGGAGGTGATATAGAAATGGTTGACGCTAGCAATGACGCTGAGTTGGATGAAAACATGGATAAATCTGATCCGGGGGTCGTTGTCTTGGATGAGTAAACCATAGTCTGTTATATGTTGTCAGAGTAGCATGCTTATTAGTTCTATAAACTATAGGCAAATTTTCCTTTCGCAGCATATTATGATATAGTGTTTTCAGATTTTCATCTTAGTGTAGGGAACAGGAATGGAGACCATACTTGTAGATCTTCTTGTGTTCTACTTGCTAGAATGGCTTCATTGAATCCTTGCTCCTCTCTTTATGGCCTGCATGAGTTAGCAAGGGTCTCACTGAGATGAATACGATTACATTTAGTTTCTGGAGCAAGTTAGCCTAGAGTTATCCGGAAGTAATGTGCGTTGATAAAATTACAATTTCAATTTTTTATTTTTTGGGTGAAAAATCCACTTTTTATTGGCCATTAATTTATGGAGCGTGAGTAGCTTGTTTGAATTGAGTATCAGCACTTAAACTGAATTTGGCCATGGATTAAGGCAGAACAAAGGGAAAAGGTGGTGTCATGAGATCAGTTTCAAGATTTCATGATTTAAACGAGTGAAAGAACACTTGACGAGCACGAGAAATTCTCCCTTTGAGGACCCTAATTCATCTTAATACCCAAAAAGCAAAATAATGTAAATTTTCAAAAGGCAAATAATTATTATTTTATAATTTTTATGTCTTGATTTCGGACTCTTTTTCCCGATAAGAGGGAAAATTTCTCACTTTGTCTAAATCGCAGGAAAATTGAATGAAAAGAGAACTAATGATAGTGAATACATTACAATATCTTTATTTCTGATGCACAAGGCTCCTTGGAACATCTTACATACAGGTACAGAAATGCCCTACAATAGGACTACACCTTCATTCCCATTTTTTAATTCAGCTTAATCATCTTATTTATGGATCCCTTGCAAAAATTTACTATCAAAGCTTGTCTCCGCAAACGACATGATTAACACCAGAGTGGATTGTGGGGCCCATAGCCAACTATGCGTTTCCATAAAACGAAAATACCATCCGGAAGTAATAATCTAAAGAGAGCTACACATAAGTGAAAAAGGACCTTTCTGAGACGAAAGTAGAAACAAAGGAAACGCTGATTTGAACTTCACCCTACAAAACTCAACAAGCACGATGCTTATACTGCCAAACTTTGCTCCATCACAGACACGTTCCGCCAGTGAAATCATCACATATGAAGTCTTGCTCCTGCATCACACAATCATGGTGTACAAAATGAACATTTAAAGCATCATTTGCACACAGATCATCCCTTCAGTTCAGGTATATCGCCATAGCATTATATAATAGCATTGCAAAATCATATTACTTAAATCAAATGTTGTTACCTGTTTCATCATTGCACTGACCAAGTCCTCCAATGAACCCAGATTATTAGAGGTGCGACTCTGTTGCGCCTTATGGGGGTCCATGATATATCCTTGATTTGGTTTCAGTGACGGATTTTCGGCCGATTTTGTGATCCCCTCGTGCTTCATTTCCAAGGGATTTTCAAAACTATAGTCCAAGTTTCTGTGGAACCCTGATGCACCAACAGCACCATTTATAGGAATCAGAGAGTCCAATGAATGCTCATCCCACCCTTGATATGCCACATTTGGTGTGTTGTTATTAGTAAAAATGGGTCCATGGGATTGCATATCTGCCAATGAACCGTGGGACCGAGTGGATAGTGAAGTGATGGAAGAAGCACCACTTGGATTCCCTCCATGATGACAATCATTTGTTGGGCAAGAATTAGTGGGCATCCCAGATGACTGCACAGCACTTGGCCAATTATCACTACACCTACCATTATGGTCATCCATCAAAGGCAAAGAAAATTCTGAATGTTGAGAGGCTACTGAAGCAAGATTCTCATACCCTCTCCCACATTGCGTGTCTTGAGAATTTGGTTCTAACAACAAGCAATTGGTTGTGATACCCACAAGTGGAGGTGCAGAGCAACTAGAGCTTACTCTTGCTCTTGGATCAGGCAACTTGTTTGAGATGAGAGACATTGTTTTATCATCAAAACCAGTGGCAGGACCTTGAACAGAACTGACAACCTTATTGGGTTGTAATTGGTCAAGACCTACAGACACTGGCATGCCCTGAAGTGAACCGCCATTCTGATTCTGATTGACATGAGCCATGGATGGCTGGAACTTGAGAGGATCATTCATGGAGCTGCTGTTGTTTAAATTCCGCGCATGACCCATCTGAAGAATTCCTGATGAAGGCAACCCATGAACACCAAGACCAGCAGGAGTATTCAGCCTTCCAATCATCCCACTATATGGGAGGGATCGATAAACATTGTTCTGAAACTGTCCAGAAGCACCCAATGGCTGAAGATGCTTAATCCCACCCAGAGATCCCACTCTCAAATAGGATGCATCAGCGCTGCCTAAGGCTGCCACCATATTAGCCTGCTGGTTCGCCACACAGCTAATTCTCTTCAGATACAGCCTATATTTCTGCAGCCATCATCACAAAAACTAGCAAGTCTCCCTCAAATTAAAGAAAACATTTATCACGTATAAATTGAACTAAACCAGAAAGTGTTCAAAAATTGCCTGAAGATGGCTTGCCACGTTCTCCCTTGTGAGTTTCTCAACATTCATCAAATCCAGAATTTTTTTAGGCACGGCCTCTGCCACCAAGATTATTCATAAGATTGTTCATAAAAAGCTTGTCAATTGAAGATTAAGATGAAAAAAATGATGTTGATGAAAGATTGAAGGACATACTGTCAATGCCTAATTGATTAACAGCAGCAACAAACTTTCGGTGGAGCTCAACAGACCAAACAACGCGAGGCTTCTTCTGTGTTGAAGGATCATCGCTGTCATGACCATGCTCATGCTCATCATCATCTTCATCATCTTGATCCTTCCTCTTCTTGGTGAGCTTTCCATTTTGATCAGTATTCCCAGCTCCTGCTGAACCTAATCCGTTGTTGGTAGCACCAGAATGAGTCTTGTCTTGATTACAAGTGTTGTTTTTCTCCTTTGAGTCAAATCTCTTCCTCCTTATTACATGCTGCCAAATGTTCTTTAGCTCCTCAATTCGAACAGGTTTCAGAAGATAATCACAAGCACCATGCGTAATCCCCTTCATCACCAGCTTGGTGTCGCCATTTGCAGACAACACTGTAATCACACGTTTTACTTTATAAAGTCAAGACCGTACATTAGTAATACTAGAAAACTCAAAATATAGAAATCCCAATTTCCAGAATTCGCCAATAACTGACATAATATATAATAATGAGAAAAAAGTGTTGAAAATGAAAAGGACGGAGATAAAAGTGTATAACTAAACTTACTTATGACAGGTAGGTCCATTTCAAGACCGACAAGCTCAAGAAGCTTGAATCCGTCCATGTCAGGCATATGAACATCACTGATAACCAGGTCAAACTTATTCTTGTTTTCTCTTAACATCGTCAAAGCTGTTATTGCCTGGTTGGTAGTTGTTACTGCAGAATTTCCAGCCAAAAGAAAAATAAATATCATCCCGAAAGAGCAAAATGGCATATTTAACATATATCAAAACACAATGCAATTGCACAATGTCTCAAGAAAAATTCCCGTCTTTAACACAATCCCAAAAGTCACTCTTAAGCTATTAGATCCTTAATTTAATAAATCCAGACAATCTATAGTAGATTTTATAACTGAAACCCAGGCAAGAACAAGCTACCAAAAACAGTGAAATGAATTGAAGTTATTGAAAGTGAGGGAGGGAGAGAACTTGAAATTAACGAACAAAGCCTACAATTGAACCCAATAACTTCGAAAATACAATCAAACATAAGCGAGAGATGAAATTTGAAGAAAGAGAAGAAGGATGGTCCGAGTGAAAAGTAGCAGAAACATTCTGTCAGATGTGTCAGTATCGAAATGCAAAGTGAACGAATGAACGCATAGATTTTTTCCTTTTTTCTTTTTTTCTTATTCCTTTTTTTTTTTTTTACAGAAACGCTAACGGAATCTCAAAAATTTGAAAAACAAAGCAGATATGAAAACGCAGATCCTTAAGCTCAAGAAAAAAAGCAATCAAAAGCATTGGAAGCAGACCGTGATATTGGCATCTCCGAAGGAGAGTTTCCAACACCAAGAGACAAGTTGGGTCGTCGTCAACAGCAAGAACACGCATTCCTACAGGAAATTGTCCTCTGGGTTCATCCTTTCTGGTTTCTACAGTCATTTTCTCGAACGGTTGACGAAGACGTGAACAACTTTCAATTTAGACTAGAATAGACTCACGGTTTTCTGGGTCTTGAACAAGAACCCAGAATCTTTGAAACAGAAGAGATACTGAGGAAAGGATTCGCAAGGTCTGAGAATAAATCTCGAACAGAGTGAAGAGAAGGAACGTGATGTGGAGGAATGATATATGGGAGAAAAAAAGCCGAAACCTTTTCCCTTGATGGGTGTATGTTACTGCGGATTGAGAAGGAAATAGAATCGATGACTATGTATGGACTGTGAACTGTGAAAGCTGATTCAATAGTGCAAGGTGAGACAGGAATGGACGTTCTTTGTGGTTTTAGCTGGAAAATAATTTTTTTAAGTCGCCTTGCCTTCTTTGAAAAACAGGAGAACATGGCCGTGCCGTGCTGCTTTTTTTTTTTTCCCCCTGCCAACATGGTCCCAAAAAACATTTGAGGAGATTGGCGCGTGATTCACGCTCCGGCGAGAAACGGAAGGTTTGTGCCTTGGGCGCTGATTAGATTCATCGATTCAGGAATCGGAGCCTCATCAGTCGTTGGGATTAGGATTTTGACTTCCGGAGACTTCTTTTTTTTTTTTTTTTGCATTAGTAAAAAGAAAAAAGACAAAAACATGACAGCATTGGCAAGTAGAGACATTGAAATTAATTTTGGCATATTTACATTAGTTCTGGTTCGAAGGCCTTATTGCAAGCGTAATCAGGGGAATATTTGTGGACACCTCCGATATTATCATTCGTGGTCCCTGTATTTTCAATTAAAACTTGTTTGATATTGAAAAATCCAATTAAAACTTGAGTTTTCCTAATTGCCTTATTGCAACGTCTGAATGTATCTAAAAATGATTAGATTTAAATTGTGCATTTATGTGTCTCCATCAAATCTATTAGGATCTTGACGTCCTATTGTGGAAATCGGGCATTTGAAATCAGAATCCTGCGTCCCAAGCTGTGAATTTCCACGATCTGGTTAGCATTTAGAGTGCCATATAATCAAAGTCGAGGGTTGTGCAGTGTAGTGTGTCCTTGATTTTAGAAGTTGACCGTAGACTTGTTCCACTACGACTAATAATGACAATCTTCCTTTGCCTGAAACTCTCATAGAATTTGTCAATGCAAGTAGGTAAAGGAGACCCGAGTCAGCTGGAAATGCATGCATGAGTTGTTATTATATTAGCTTCAAGTAAAAGTGACGTGAAAGGGAAAGGAGGGCCAAATTTTGTTTTTAGCTTTTTATTAAAAGGTGGAATGCGTGTTTTGCTAGTTTTAGGTTCCTTCAATTTTCAAATGTGCAAACTCGTGGGAATGAAATCTTGGATAAAAATTGAAGTTATGCTCGGTATTGATTGAAGGTATTTTGTAAATTTATAATATGGATATGTTATTTGTTTAAAATTTATCAATGTATTTGTTTATAGTAAGATATAAATGCAATAGGAATGGTGTAAAATGAATGTGAACCATAAATGTAAGGGGAAGAGCATGAAATACAATGCATATGATTGCAAACATTGGAAAGAGAGGACTGCGAAAACAACAAAATGGATGATGAGCAGGCTGTGTACTCTTTTTAATAAAATATATAAAAATAACGAGTAATTTTTTAAAAAAGAAAAAAAGTGAAGTAAGTGGGCATGCAAATGTAATGCTTTAAAAAGAAGGGGGCTGCGACGATAGAGTAATAAAAGGGAAGTCAAGATGAAAGAAAGAGGGACCAATGAGTGAAAGAAACGTCGAATGCCACTATGGAGGTAATGACAACTCAATCATCGCCATCGCTATTATTGTTGTTGTTGTTAATTATTAATGTGTCATATCTCTCACCCCTAATATAACATTGCCCCTCACTTCAACGTAGGTTAAAGATAAATTTATCTTTAAACTCCTCCCACCATTTAAAAATATAAAATATTTATTAAAAAATTAAATATTAAAAATATAAAATATTTTTAATCTTTCAAAATATAATCATTATTTTTTTAAATGTCCCTATTAATAATAATCTTATATTTATTGGAGGGTATTTAATAGAAATAAATATAAAAAATAGAATTAATTAAAAAGTAGATAAATACTTTATTGAGATGAGATTTAATTAAAAATGTCTTATTTTTAAATGGAGGGAGTATAAATTTATGAGTATTTAAAATTTTAAAACTCATTTCTAATATAATATTTTTTTTAACATTTTTAAATAATGTAATGTAAAGTTAATATTTATTGATGATAAAGATAATATTGTACTATTTTAAAATATAAAAAAAATATTATATCACAAATAAGTTCCAAATTACAGGCACTCTTAATTTTTTAACTTAAAAGTTAGTTTGTCATCTAATCCTTTAAAAGTTATATGACATCTTTGACTAATTTGTATTTGTAATAATTTTGATATTTGGAAAGGAAAAAAAAAAACTCACTTGCATTTTAAAACATAAAAAATTATAAAAAACCATAATGATTAGTCCTATAATTGCATGACGCTTTGCTTTTAATCTTTATGGTTTGTTTTCATTGTTCCCAATCCTTATAGTTTTTGCTGTCTAAAATGTTAATCCCTCATGTCCTTAACAGTGTTAAATTTGCTGAGGTGTAATTAACACCATTAAATATGATGCTGCCTTATCAAATTTGTGTTGAGTTGGCCCATATGACTCAATTTATTTATTTTCAAATCCTGTTTGGAATGAGTAAGGTTAACAGTTCAAATGATATTCTTGATCTCATCAATCAAATCTCTGTTCGTTGCTCCCTTCGATTTACTCCCTCCTGTATATCATAACCACTGCCGTGGACTCCCTCCGATCTACTTCCTTCGCCGTCCAATCTTGCAGATCTAGATGAACCCAGTCCCTCCGCCGTCCGATATCTGGGCACTGGGCACAAGAAGTAGCACTCATCTGAGAGGCTGCTTCCATATCTGCTTCTTTCCAGATTTGTTTGATTAAACTTGGCTGAGAACAAGAACCTTCTTCGACGACGATGGAGGGACAAGAAAGGCAGATGTGGTTTCTTTTTCTCTCTTTTTTCCATTTAACAATAGCACTACTTGACAGCTTTTCAAATCGCATCGCTATTTTGTTCCTCATCAAGTCATTCACTGTTCCGGCGAGTTTTGCCGTTTAGGCGAATGTGTCTTGTGTTTCAGGTTCAATAAATAATATTAAATCCCCATTCCTTTTTTCCTCCTCATTTCTATTCCAACTCATCACTGCAGGTCAACATAATATTTAACCATGTTAATTACACCTCAGCAAATTTAACAAATTTAACAGTGAGGGACTACTATTTTAGACAGTAGAAATTATAAGGACCGGGAAAAACAAAACCCAACTACAAAAATTAAAAACAAAGCAATTGATCATTATGTTTTCCCAAAATTCATACGCGCACACATATAATTTTAAGTAAAAGCAGGGAGGGAGTATACTACATGTCGTGATATGTTCAAGTCTGGCTAATATAAATATCACATTTCTCACTTCATTTTATACGCTGTGTCTGGTCCTTCCACTGCTCCAAACTTCACCCTCTTTTGCTGATTATGTTACGTCACAGAACAAGCCTGCCTTCTTGCATTCCATCATCTTAATCTTTCACGTACACACTCTCTCATCTTTATCATTAGTTATTTAGGGGGGGAAAATAATCCTTGACGGAAAGCACTTGATGAAACATTAATCATATTTTTTAATATTATTTATATTTAAATTTATTAATTATAATCGAAAATGTATATAAATTTGAAAAAATTATTCTATTTTTATAAAAAGTCAATGATTTAATCAGCCTCCTTAATTCTAATGAGACAAGTAAAGGCGTGTCATGTATACAACAATGACAGGGAGTATAATATTATAACGTCCCCCTCCCTCTTATTTATCGTTCAGATTCTCGCACGCGTTGGCCTCTTTCTCCAATGACAACCCTATTAGCTACTGAATCCTTCCACCAATTAATCCACACTCACAGTGTTGACCAACAAACAAATAACATTCAATAGTCATTATTCACGAATCTCTGCGAATTGACAACATATCTCCTTTTCTTTTCTTTTGTTTGTTTGTTTGTTTTTTTTTTTTTGGTTAACATGTCTCCTTTTACCTGTGCTCCTTTCCTCAACTTTTATTACAAAAAAAAGGATAAAAAGTATAAAATCTCTTAAATTTTAAAATAATTACACATAACTCCATCATTTTTAATAATTAATTTCCTAACTTTTACTTTTGTTTTTTAAAACCTTCTACTATTATTTATATTATTTTTTTATAAGGGTTAAAATATCATTTAACTTAAAAAATGTTATTAGACAAAATGTTATATTGCAAAATTATGACTAATCAATTTTTTTTATATTTTTTTAAATAATTGAGGCATTGATAGCAAAAAAAAAGTTATTGTCATCATATAAAATCTTAAATATTTACTTTTATATTAATTTTATTTATTTTTTTGTTATTAATGATGCATTGTTATCTTGTATTAAAGGATAAATTAATCAAATTGGTAATATTTAAAATTTTAAATATTTTAATGATGTGTATTACATTAATCTAATCTGAATATATATATATATATATATATATCATTTAAAACAATAAAAATCTGCACCATTGATAGCAAAAAAAACACAGATAAAATTAATATAAACCAAAAAACACAGTGATAATAAGATTTTTTTGGCTATTAGTCCCTCGAGTCCCAACTATCCAAAAAATATAAATAATTCTATGATATAATATTTTTATTTAATAATATTTTTTAGTTAAATAACATTTTAACTTTTCTAAAAAAAATATAATTAAGAGTGAGGGTTTTAAAAAATAAAATTAAAAGTTAAGAGGGTCAATTTAAAACTTTTAAAAATGAGGAGAATCATGTGCAATTGCCTTAAAATTTATAAAGGTTTTATGTACCTCACTACAATCGGCAAAACATATTGATATTATTAATTTCTTCATCTAAGAATAAAATAAATTTCTGACTTTATTTATCTTTAGAAATAAAATTTTAAAATTTACATTGCGTCTTCTTTTATAACTAATAGCTTCAACTGTTGGAAAATCTTAGTTAATATAGATCAAGAAACTTATAATAAGAGCCATCAATCTCTTATAAAAAAAATACTACCCTATAACAATCTTAGAAAGAACTGTTTTGGTACAAATGATCTGCTTTTTAGCATCCGAGATAAGATATTGAAATGGGAGTCACACATAAAGTGAAAATAAATATTAATTAAGATGGAGGAGTGAAGATAAGAACTAACTTGAAGGAGTTATGGTGAAAGGAAGAATTTAGAGGGAGATTCAGTTAATTAAAAATAAATAAATAAATAAAGAGGAAGGAGATTGTGTGATGGTGCGTGTTGCATAGAAAAAATGAATGGTGGGGTTTATTTTATGTAATGGAGCAGCAAGAGGGCTTAATCAATCATGAATGAAGAAGCCAGCCGAGAAGTGGAAGTGGAAAATGAAGGAATATTGAAAGGCAAGAGGTTGCTTGAGATCACATGTTGGGAGATCGTGACGCATAGGAAACAAGATCCAGAATGACCTCATATTATGCTCCACTCCACTCTGTTTTATTCAACTCAAATTCATTTCTTAATTATATGTTCCCGATTCACTATCGCCACCGTATCTTCCGATTCCTTCCCTGCTTTTACCTCCCCCACTTTCCTGATCTCACACAAATAAAAAATCATTGTCCGTGCTGGATCACAGTGAGGACTGAGAATTGGGCTTGGCTGTAGTTTTGGGCTAGAAGTGGACTCGCTGGTCTTGTCATACTAAGCCATGTAACAAGGCCAGTCACCAGTTTGTCTGTCCAAATAAAAAGCAAATGAAAGTCCACTACTCGTCGCGCGTTTCGTTTTCAATTTATCAAATATATTTATTCAAAGGAGATCTACCAAATAGTGAAGCTCAATATATTACCATATCAACACAGAATGAAATTACAAAACAAAACAACGTTTAAATAATTGTTAGTATATTACTTGCATGATCACTGGATAAAATCCGGTCATTGATGATTATTTTGCTTCTTTTTTTGGCTGTCAAAATTGGGGACAATTCTGTTTGAAATGTATTATCGGGTGTTAAATATTTTATTTTTTATCCTTCCTTTCTTGCCTCCCTCACATGTATCATTTTATGGCCGAAACACCTCCGTAATGAAACTTTCAGATGTCATTTTTTCGGGGCCCATAACCACGGAAACCGGGCCAACAAATTTGGGACCGCTTCATTAATTAAGACAAATATAAATACTCTTCTCACCTTATTTAAAAGGATGAGTGATCAGATTTATTTATTTTTTTGTTTGCTGTCATTTTTATAAACCACATCTTTAAATCTTTATTGCAAATTTTTTTACCTTTCATTAAATATTTGTGAACGGAAATATATTATGATAGCATGTACATTTAAGGAGCAAAGTTGAAACTTATTAAATTTTTACATAAAATTAATTAAAGTTAAGGTTTTGACAGATACTAAAAGTAATTTGCAAATAATACTAGAGTAGTATAAATTCGAGGACTTGGACGGTGCTTGATGATGCACTGCACTTTGATATTGTATTAGAAGAGTATTTTTTAAAAAGTTAAATCTATGTTTATAACAACATTATTGTAAGCAATAATGATTTTGACAGACAGATGATAATGTAGAACTAGAAGCAGTCTTAGTGACATTTTCTCAAGCTTTTTTTTTTTCCCCCTTAACAACAGTTATTTAAATTTTCTTATGCCTTTTGGTGGAGGTCGCCCCTGTTGACCACATTTTTTTAACCAACCCCGTTGACCACATGGTAAGTATTATGATACTATCTAAGCTTGCCGCCTGTTGGGTTGGCGTATCACATTTGTTAAAGTATCATAAAGGCTGAGTTTATCCTCTTTTCCCTCTGTTTTAATAAAATCGATTCCCTATTATGTCTCATAGATCTCCCCAAAAACAATATTTCCCAAAATTCAAACAGGATCAATTTATATCTTCCAAAATAAACAGAATGATTGGTCTGTCTTTGACCACCCGAGTCTTACGCAAGTCGAGGATATCAACTGACTAAAAATTAACCCGTATTCTTTGTAGTCATGTTTACATATCATTTCAACATCACATATTTTAGAATGGAGGAAAACCTTAACATTTAATTTATTATTTCTCTTGAAAAAAAAATCAATAACTTTTTGAGTTTGTCTCACAAGCATTCAACCGTATATTCAATCAAAAAAATTCTCTCTCTCTATCCCGTAAATAATATCAAAGGGAGTGTGTAATTTAGCACTTTCTCTACAAATTTACACAAAAAATGAAAAATAGATCATATCATATGTGCCCTATTATAAATAATGTCACTCATCATCATCATCATCTAGAATCCGCGAATGCGTTCTTGTTTATAAGGTTTTAAAATATAAAAATTTTATATTGTCAACGTAATTTTGGCAAAAAAAAAAAAATTAGATATGTACGCTGCAGAAAATTCCGTTTTTGTGCTAGATATAAATAAAATGCAAGGAGTTAACTCGACAGGTTGTGAAATACACACACACGCCCCATTCAACTCTAAAAATAAGCATATTACTCTCAAACGTCCTTTCTTTATAATTTTCCTGTCAACGCACCCCCAAACTCTCTCTTATATCTCTAGAGGTTTCCCAAAATTTTATGTTATGTTTGGATGTATGTGGATTTGAATTTGAATTTGAGCCTAATTCATTGTTTGGGTAATTAAAAATTTGTTCAATTCAAATCCTACATCAATTCCTTTATAATTTTAAATCTTTTATAAACCCTTATTATTTCAAATTTTCTTGGAAGCCTCTCTCTTCCTTTGCATTCACTCGCATACTTTGAAATCGCTACCTCTAATTGATTTCAATGGGACTAAACCACCAACGCTAATCAGGATTAGATCTCCAACACCATCTGAGACTGCATCGCCGAAGCCAAGAAGGATTGAATTACGGTGTCAATCGAGACTGAACTACTGGCATCGATCAAGATCGAATGATCAACACCAATACAAACTAGATGGCTATCTTTGATCCGTCAGCCTTCATTGCCTGACACTAAATGTTGTTGTTAACAAAAAATGCCCTAGTGTCATCATCCAAGTGACTAGGCAATCTCACGCCTCACCAAAATAATTATAGACTTGACCCTAAATGTTGTGGAGGGTCAACTTAGGTCATCTCTCTAGTGAGTAGCCTAATTCAATTATGAGGTTATTAAGTGAACAAAACACCTAAGTGTTTAAGAATGTTACCTAGCAATTGGTGAATAAGATGCTAAAATTTAGACTAATAAGTGAATGAAATTAATTCCTTTTTAATGAATTAGAACCCTAGAGTTTAGATAGTAGAAGAATCATTATCTATCCCATTGATTATAGCTTTAGTGATGAATTACTCCTCTTGGCTGTATCTAAGTTCTCTATGAAAACTATCCTATAAAACTTAATCTAATTAGTCCAATTTCTTAAGTCATTAACTAATGTCCTTGGGTTATCTTTCTAGTGTAATTTCAAAGTTAACCTATAACATCCTAATATTTAGATAATAAATAACTTATAAAATTTAGGTTTTATTAAGGATTCAAAATTTATAATGTATTTTGTATGAGGTTTTAAAAAATTTATATTCAAGGTTATTTGGGGCTAATAACAGGTTTAGGAATTTAATTATGGATTAAATTTAGACATAGAATCATATAAAAGATATTTACTAACTTAGTTAAAATATAATTTAAGGATTTAAAATATATGTAATCATATAAGAGATGTTTACTAGCTTAGTTAAGATATAATTTAAGGATTTAAAATATATGTATGCATGACAAAAAAAGGAGAGCAAGGATTATTTTATATATCCTATTTTTAGTTCCACACAAGTCCCTTGTCGCTTGGATGTAGGTGGGGGAATGATCTCCTCAATTATAAAACATGAAATGCGCATCAGTAAGGGAGAAAAGGTGGCTGAAAACAACTTGTGAAAATTATAGCTCACAGCCCAAAGATTTGAATAATTCATTCAAGTTCTCAATTATTTTTAATATAATTGTGGGACTCATATTCTTATTTTTATATTATTTTCCCTCTCCCTCTCACATTGGCTCTTGTTTTCTGTGCACAGAGGAGTGTCCTTTGTATTTTAGATAAGTTCTAACTTTTCTGCTTATATTAACATTAAAAAATTATTTATTTACAAAATTCATTTCATAAATATTTCCTAAATAACAATAGCTTCCTAATGATGTGATTATTTTGCATAGTAGAGTAAATATTTTGATTAAAAATTTTTTATAGGATAGTTAATATGATGTTATGATGAATTAAAAATAAATGTTGAGATTATTAGGAATATAATAAATACTATAGAATATTTCTTTGAGATTAAAACTCAAATTTAAAAATTTTTGAGTTAAACTCTAGACCTGTATGAGTGTGTTTATGTTGGATCTAAGATATTGAGATGCATTTTTTTTATTATTAGAGGTTTAATTGAGTATAAATAAATATTTTTGAGGCTATGAAATAGTGATTTGAGGTTTGAGAATAATTTTTAAATTCTAATTTATTTTTGAAATATAGATGGATGAAAGTAGGATATTAAGAGTGATTTGAGACTTAAATCTACTTTATTGCAATATGAAAATTTTAGAAAGGAATTTTGGAAAAAAGATACTAACCTTGATTTAGTACTAAGTGTGAGCTAGATCTATACTCCTTAACTCTATAATTAGAGTTAATTGTTGTTGATAATTATAAAATTAAGATTATACATATATTATTAAATGACTGTGTAGATTGCATAAGATTTATATGAAGAACTTATGATTCTCTGTCATAAAACTCAGGCATCAGTTTTGACGCTTGATTATCATATGATTCGATTAAAACAAAGCATGTAAATATATATATATATATATATATTTATAATCAATTAATTCTATAAAGCTTATTAATTGAGCGATAAACGTACAATTATATCTCTGTTATATTTTAATCAAAGAATTTAACAATAATCATAAAAAGTAAAAGGAATTGATGGTAATTGGCAGTCGTTAAGTTTCGATCTTTCTATTGTTGATTGTGTGCGTGAGATTGCCTGGTTCGAACTCGCGGTTTATGGTGATATTATTTTGATCTTTCTATTGATTATTCACCACCACGGTCCGTGCCATCGTTTTGATCCAGAATCATCGTCATGATATTGATATATAGATTTTTATAGTGATATGAAGTTCCTTTTTTAGTTAATAAATCATACGAGCTGTACGAAATTGTCTCTTTTTTTTTTCTTAAAAAAAAAAAAGAACCAATTACCAGTATGAGAACAAGAAAAACATTCTATATAGATGAATGTCAGTTGGAATATCTAAGCGTAACTGAAACCTAGATTTGAGTTAGCTATAGATGCTGTTTGTCTCTCCTCCCTAACTTCTACAAGGAAGAAAAAGAATAGAGACACTCCTTCTGTTACGACTCACAATAATCGTATCCCACATGCATCTGTAAATGTGTTCATACATGTTTATACCATTATTCGCAGCCTAAAAGCTCTGGGAACGTACGTACTGATACATACCTACATACATACATGGTTACATACATACATACAAATAAAGCTAGTTTAAACATACAATCTGCAGGGACTCATAAGCTCGTAATCTGTAGCGCCAGTATGGTTAGAGAGATAGGAAAGAGGACTGTACATAACTGAGTTAGGGTAACTCTTGGGATGAAAAGAGCAACCCCATGACGATGACGCAGAACTCATCCTATCTTCTTCGATCTCTATCTCCATCTCCGCCACAACCTCGCAGAAGAGATTAACATCACAAGGAAGCCATATGGGCCCGTCGTTTCTGTACCCATACTCGCTCTCTGCATCATCTAGAAGCACCTGGAACATCGGATGATTCGCCAGCTCTATCTTCACCAGGAATCTCTCTCTCTGGGGTCCCACGTACACCCAGAAGCATCCCTCCGGAGCCACCTTCTGCTTCTTCTTCTTGTTGCTCTTTTGCAGTGATTCTCGAACCCTCGAGAGTATGTTGTAGCTGCTGCTGCGTCGGCTTCCCTCTTTGCATCGCTTGCATCGTCCCCATACCCTCATGCATTTCTGCTTCACGCTCTCCATATTCAGTTCTCTCTCTTGATCGCAGGTAGCTAGCCCCTGAATGAAACTTGTGTGTCTGGGATCAGGAGGTGGATATGATAGAGAACATGGACAGAGAGAGGTGGGGGGGTGTTAGGGCTTTTTTAGGTTGGGATCGGTCGGAAACTTATGGAGGAGATGAAAGAAGAAAGAGGGAGAGAGAGATGTATATAACGCGGAGGGATCTTGGCTGCTGGTCGCCTTCTATCTCAGCACAATCGTCTTAGTCTAATCCTCACGAATTGACGCCATCTTTAAATTACTGGCCTGTATGATTAAAAACGCCGTTTGATTTTGAACGTGCAAATGCTTTCTTTTTGGTCATGAATTCTGCGATATCATTCAAAGAAAACCAACAACAAAGACCAGGATCGTGCAAGTTCAGCGATAAAGTGAAATATCCAAGTTATCAATTTTACTAAAAAAATAATTCATTCGCATAAATATATAATTTAACATCAAGTTAATATATCTATGCGCATAATTTAACAAGGCCAATTAATATCCATCATGGTTTAATAATCATATATATATATAGTATATATAGTAATTCTTCCTTTAAAAAATATAAAGCATTTTAAACCGAATCTTATATTCTAATAAAGTAATTATTTACTTTTAAACTAATATTTTCTTTTCATATTTACCCCTATTAAGCACCCTACAATAAATATAAAATTACTATCAATAAAGACATTTTTAAAAAATAGTAATGATTACACTTTGAAAGATTAAAAATGCTTTATATTTTTTAAAATTCAATTCCTAAAAAAATGTCTTACATTTTTAAACTGAGGGAATAGAGTTTATTAATTTTGTTGATTATATTAGTAGAATTATATTTATACTCCATCCAGTACCCTATTTATAAGGCAGAAAAAGAAAAAATTATTTGATCACATTTATAAATCATCTTATTAATTTTTTATTACAAAATTTTTCTTTTGCCCTGTTAAAATGTTGGTGAGAGAGAAGTTATTATATATATATATATGGAAATAAAGTTAAAAACTTGTTAAAATTTTAAATAGATTTAATAATTAAATTTTAAGACTTTACTGTATTATATTTGATAAAAGCGACTTAGACTTATAAATGGCATAGGGAAATATTCAAAAAAAGGGGAATAATGTTTACAAGTCAAATAGATCATATGGGCTTTCTATGCAATTATAGATATATTATTATTATTATTATTATATATGTAGATATTGAATAACATACTAATGATATGTCAATTACTTTATTAAGTCCCACGAGACCATTGAAGTGATGAGCAACAACGTGACCTTTTTTTTGGTTTTTTGTTTTTGACCTTGAACAGTGTGACTTTTCAACCATGGCAAAAGAAAAACGGATTTCAGAACGTCATTCACTGTTAACTCTCTCTCCTTCCGGACCAAGACTTCAGTTACGTCACTTAATTTATCACAATTAATTCAATGCATGTATCTAAGTAATTCAAAGCGAGAGGATAAAACTTCGTTCTCTTTAATTTTGTCACAATTTACAAACTTTCAAGTTTCAACGATGAAATTAAAGTGGCTCCCTCATTTCTCCAGTTATCATTCCATGTAATATGCATCTAATTCCCTGTCATAAAAATTAAGATTTAAATTTTTTGAAGTTAAGATGGATAAATTTATGTGATGTTTTTATAATAGAAAGTGAACAAATTTTATATTTTATAAAATTAATAAAACAAGTGAAAATACTAAAAAGAACTTCATATAAATTCATCAATATAGGGATTTAAATCCCACTAGTACTTCTTAAATTTATAAGATTACAAAAATAAAAAGTTGTCCTAATTATAAGGTGTAAAATAAAAATATAATTAAAAATTGAAATATTTTTTATATAAAAAGGTATAATAATTTCTTAAAATCATGGAAAAATCTAGTAAAGGAAGGTGCTGTGTAAATAATTGGATGAGGACTCTTTGGCCAAAAAAAAAAAAGCACGAGGACTCAATTAGTCATCTTTACCAAATACTCCCACCATCTTAAATTATAAAATAATGTTAGAGAAATTTTTTTCCAAAATATTGGATAACTTAAAAAAATTTAAAATTTTATTAATGATATTTTTAAATATTATTCTTTAAATAAAAAAAGAATTAAAATAATATTGTAATATAATGATTAATTGTGTATTGGCTTTTTTAAAAGTTTATAGCTTTATTTTAATAAAATTTATTATTGTATTTGATTAACCAACATAATCTTATTTTAAATTATTTTATAATTTGCTATAAAGAAAGTATTTTGGGAGAATTGCATTGCAGCCTTTAAAAGAATAAAAAAATTTACTTTGAGCCCAATACGTTCTGATATTGAGCTACAAATTTAAGAATCTTTGTTGCAATTTTTCTTGAAAGTTAAAGTATAATTTTGCCCTTATGTGATTTAAAAACTCAGATTACGTATAATATGATATCCATGGATACACAACATTATATCTATGCGTGTCCAGTTGATCTGCAAGTTAAAATATATATCACAGAGAGCATATACAATACAATATTTATGATGCACTCAGCACAAATGTCAATGCATGTACAGTTGATTTATAAGTTAATTAAAATAAAGTCACGTAGAACATACACAACATGATATCCATGAATGCACAATACAATATTCATGTATTCTTAACTAAATTTTCATGCACGAATACTGTGTTGAAAATTCATGAATTGTGCATCTATGAGCATTGTGTTATATATTCTCTGCATCACTTATATATTTTATTAAATTTATTGATCAATTAATACACATGGATATTGTATTATGTATTGATAGATATGGTGTTATATATCAATGAACATAGTGTTGTATATTATTTAAGTTTTTAAATTACAAAAGGATAAAATTATACTTCTATTCACAAAAATTATAAGAAGAGTCCTTAAGCTTGCAGCATAATAGAAGATTATATTCGGCCGGCCATGTGAATCCTCCAAGTATTTGAGCAAGCTAGCAATGGGGTCTCCCACGTGCCCATCTGTTTTGAATACTGGGTCCTGGGTCTAGTAGTTCAGTTATTGACTGCTTAAATTACTTTTTTATTTTTTATTTGTTGAAAAGGATGTTGAATGATTCAAATTTTCAATCGCAACGCATAGTCACGCTGTTGAATTAATTAGTTTCTTTGATCTCATGATATTCCCAGAATATTTTCACAAACCGACGAAAGAAACGTGATATTGCTTACCGTTACAAGGTACTTTTAATCAAATTATTTTATATTTTTAACAAATTAATTATTTTTAAAATCATACCCTTTATTTTTATTTAATAAATTTTTTCAATTAAAATTTTTATTAATTTTAATTTTATTAATCATACCTCTAATTAAGAATATTTTTAAAAGAAATGTCTTATAATATTATTAAGTGTAAATGTATAAATTTGGCTATGGATTATTTTCTCAGAATCTAGCACGTCCCATTTATTTGAAGCTGACGACCGTTTAAAGAGAGAGAATAATGTTTTCTGTTTGATAAATTTCTTGTATAAAAAAACTCAATAAACCTTGAAAAATAGTTGCTTGCTAAAGTTATACATTTATGTTATTATTAAATATTAAATGGAAAGAATATGTTTAAATATTTAATGTAACGTCTGACCTTATAAAATAATACATATTATCATTTGTTTGGTTTTGCAATAATATATGGGGAAGAATATCATTCCAGGATCATTTGAGGGTATTTAATATCAATCAAGGATAAAAAAATTTTCAAATATCACTGCAAGATCAGAGGGTTTATTTGAAAATAATTTTAAATAAGAAAGACTATAATACCCTCGCCATTTTTTAATTGACAAATAGCCATTGGTGAATTAAAGAGTACCCATTCACGTCTAGCAAGAAGCCATTTACTAATTGATTGTGGGAAGAAATGAGTGTAGATCATGTTTGAATAAATAACCATTCATTAATTAACAAGTTATTTAGTAATTGACAAGTTCAAGAATATGAAAGAATTTGATTGTGGGAAATGACAAGTGTAGAACATCTTTTAACAAGTAATCATTTGTTAATTAACAAGTATTTTTTTGAATTTAACAATAAATTATTTGCTAATTGATAAATTTAGAAATCTAAAAGAACTTGGCTATGGAAAGGAACAAGTGTATATCATTAAAGGGAATGAAGTGACATGCATTTTTACCTTCAAACTATATGGGTTTTGATCCCTCTAAAGGGTATGTAGGCCCTAAAATTTTATCTTAAGTCAAGTTCAATTTATAAATAAATAATTTTTTAATCATAATTTTCTTCTAATTTCCTTTTTTTTATTAATTAAAGGTAATTAAATTACATTTAAGGTCACATTAATTTTATTTAGTCAACTTAAAGTAACCGTTCTTATGAACGGGTGATGTGGGATTTCTAACATCTTTCTTACGTACAATTGACTCTCGAATTCTAATATGATTATTATAGATCATTTTATTTTTTAAGAGGTTTCTAAAATTATCCTTTTAAAATTCTTGTGGTGACTCTTGCTTTTATTAATTTCCCTTTCCGGCAAGATCACGATTTAGGCATGACATGCACATATTCCCCTGGTTATATTTATAGGATAGAGAGAGAATTTTAATTTTGGTTATATTCATAAGACAATTCACTCTCTTGTCCTTCTTTTTTAAATGAATCACCCGCGTGCTCTCTCTCTCTCTCTATCTTCACTATCTTGCATATTTATCTTTACTTTCTTGCCTTATTAAATGTCATGAAAGCTTATTAAAAATAATTTTTCTATCTTTATTAAAGGATAGATGTGGAAAATATGATTTTGGGTGATTGGATTTTTCCTTGAAAAAAGAGAATATCATTTGGACTAGTAATTAAGCAATATGGTATTAGATTATAGTCTAATTTATAATTAGAATAAAAATATATCTAAGTGTCTCATATAATCACTGTAAAGTGTTTTTTGAATTAGTTTGCTATTGGATAATTGTATTAGACATGACATAAAATATTCGAGAAAGGTTATGAGTGTAACAAAAGACACTCATGACTATTAATGCTCTAGATGAATAGAATTGGCATTGAAATTAAATTAATTAATTGAGTTAAAATGAAGTCTACGAATTTAATAGGGATTAGTGACTATATATAGGTTACTTTTTACATAAGTGGCTGCTGTTGAGTTAAGAATCTCATTACAGTTTAGTAAATTTAC